TTCAGGGTATCTCCTAGTCGAGCAGTCTCGACTAGAGCCTTCTTACTTGTTTTTCTGTTGATTTCCGAAATCATTTGCAGCTTTCACTGAATAATTAATTAACTGATTTTTGTTTCTTCTGCTTCAATTGAATTTTTATGAAAAACGGCAAAATCGTCGGACTGAGAAATTTTTGATAGTTCTATTGAAGAGATAGGATTTTGTAAGCCCTATAAAAAACCAATCAGCGCATAAATTAATGAATGTCAATAAAATTAAATAAAGCACACAACATATTTATTATGGAACTGAATTTATTTTATTTCATTATGAGAGCTTTGTATTTGTATTTTTGTTTTTGACACATTGAATTTTGGTATTCGTAGTATTCGTTACATGAATTGCATGTTTTTCGATTTTGCCTTCTTGTTTTACACATAAACATTTAATTAATTAGACATTTAAATATATGAATGCAAACGTATACATCTATATGGTTGCTAGTTAGTGCTATGATTTGTAATTTCTCGGTTCTGTCATCTAAAGCTGACTAGAATGGCGCTGCTAATAGGAGGGCATGCCTACAACTACAGATATTGTGCCTGACGGCTGTCTTTTCATTTCAACATCGTCTTATTCTGTTGTCTTTTGTGCTGATTGCTGCCTCAGGAAATAATGAAAGATGGGGGAAGAGTTACGAGTTTAACATTTATGCTTAAGTTTCAAGTGCGAATTGCAGTTTATGCGTTGTAGTAAATATCAAAGTGTGTGTGTAAGTTTTTCTATGTGTGTGTGTTTGTATCTATGTGTGTGTGTGAGTGTACGTCAACGCCAGCGCTGCCAGTCGGTGCTGCTAATAATTATCACCCATTACAACAGAACCCCCTAATAATATCGCTAGCAATAATAATTGCAGCAAGTCTTTTGTAAGCCATTACAAGTACAAATATAGATATACATATCTAAGATAAAACTAAATACATAAATATACATATAGATTCGTAGATCAATTGAAATTCGCTAAACCACGCTTGCCATACAGCTAAACTAAACATAATTCAATTGATCAATCAATCAGGAGCTGACTCTGGCTCAGACAATCAATCAATAAAGTAATCAATCAGGAGTTGAGCCAAAGGTCTGGCTCAATCTTTCACAGAAATCGAGTGTTGCACAGAAAACCAAGATAATACAAAAATCAAACATTAAAATTGATGGACTAAAGCTTAGGAGCGGGACTTGAAGTATGGGGCGAAATGTTATGCATGTTGTTGTTGTATATTAGCAGCAGGGCGGCAGAAGGGTAAGCGGCAGCAGGGGCAACAGCCGTGGCACTGGCATTGTTAGCATCAGGGCTGCGTCCTTAGTTTCGTTTGGAATCCTTAGATGCAGCATCCAGGTGCTGCGCCACTGTCACCTGGCATGGCCGCTGCCGGCAGTTTGTGCCTTTGGCTGTTTGCCGCCTGCAGAGCTGGCGCCGCTGCCAGCTCCGCCAGGAGCAGCAGGTCCACCACTTCCACCTCCTCCAGTTCCGCCAGCTGCTGTGCCAGAGCCCTGAGCTGCCTCGCCTCGATGATGATGGTGGTGATGATGATTGTGATGATGATGCCGCCGACCGCCGCGATAATGTCGACGATTGTGATGCTGATAGTTGTTGTTTGTCGGCTCCGGCAGCACGCGCTGTGTGTCCTGCACTACAGGAGCAAAGCTGCTAACCACGGGCTTGGCCTGCGCTCCTGCGCCGTTTGCCGGGTCTGATGTGCCGGCCAGCTTCTTTGCTGCTTCGGCCTCTTCGCGACGTCGACGCCGACGCACATCCTCCTCCGTTTCGATGGCTATGACATTGCCAGCCTCAGCCTCGACGTCGATTATGGCGCCGCGGCTCTTCTGCTGCAGATAGAGCTGCGACATGTGCTGCTGCATTTGCCGCAGTTCTTGAGTGACTTCGAAATCGGGAGCATTTTCCAGCTCAGAAGGCGGCATCGCGCACTTCAAGCTATCTGATTCGTCGCGTATGTGCTCGCGACAGACGGGACACAGAGCCTGAAAGGGATCGGCAGTCTTTTGCTGCCAAGCGGGCAGCTTATCGAACTCCTCCTGGTAGGTGCGGCGCATCGCATTCAAATGCCGGGCCAAGCAATAGCTGTGTAGGTAATGGAAGCACTCGGTGCGTGTGAACTCGTCGCCCTCGCTGAAGCCATACAGGCAGATGACGCACTGACCACTGGGCAAATTGCTGCCGGTCAAGTGCTCGCGCACCACATCAATCAGATCGAACACAACGGGCTGACCGAGGGACTCCTTGATCTTTGCATCACACGCACTGCGTATGGCCTCTAGCCGAGCATCGTCCAATCCACGGGGACGCAGCAGCTTAAACTCAGGACTCACATCCGGATAGCCAGCTGGGGGCCGCACCTGGAGCGTCACACAAATATATTGCTGCTCATCCTCCTCGCCCGTGAGTGGTAGCACCGTTGTCTCGATCGCGTCCACAGCGCCACTAAACAATTACCAGTAGTATTAGTATATACAGCATATAGAGGAGCTTCAACAGTACGGAGACCTACCTGGCACCTCGCACAATGCGCACATCGTCCATGAGAATCGCCTCTAGCGACTCCAATTCCTCATCTAGCAAACTGCAAGTGAGAAGTGCAAAAGAAAATCAATCACGTTGTTTTCTCAAAAGTATGAGCATTACATTACTATGCTAGTGTGCCTGCTTACCTGTCCATATTCACTGTTTTTTGCCTATGCCTTTAAATGCTATTTTCCTTAAATATATAATAAAAAATCGATTGAGACAGAAATTTTGCGCCTGACAACAACAACTAGAATGAGGCAATCGCAGCGCAGCGTAAACACGAGGCCATTCTCTTCAAGCGTTGACATGAGCAGTGCCGCTCTGAGGTGCGCCATCTAGTGTGAAGTAGCTAACAGTATTGGGCCCATTAACAGTCTGTTTGAATAAGCTGTCTTTACAGAGCGATAGCTGTTAGGGCTGCATGCATGTTTAATAACGCGCCAAATTTAGAAATAAAGCGTACAGATTTAAAAATTTGCTAATTTGCAAAATATTCACGTAATAAATACATAAATACATCATGCTCAACATTAAAAAGGATCTATAAAAATGTATGCATATTCGTTTATGTTAGATAAAATTAAATGATATTAAAATGTTTAATAAACATTTGGAGATATATTTTTGCTTACAACTCACTTAATCATTATTTATGATCTAATGCCGTTGCGATTCTCTCAACCTGCAATTAATTATTAAAATAATAGTTACTCTGATTATTATTTAATATGAATTAACTATTATAATAGTTGTATAGAATAGTGCAATTACTATGAGGATTTCATACACTTATGCTCACTCGTTCTCTTTCCAGTTCGTGATTTCTCTTTCTTTTATGCTGCGCACTAATAAAGGACACTGGTGGCATTCCCTTGTGTTGCTTGCCCTCTAACACTCATACACATACACTCACAGTCACTTACACATGCACATCAAAAGCTAACCTCTGTCTATGTGTGTGCTTTTTTGGGCTTAAGCATTTTAATGCGCTACCCAATATAATTTTAGAACTGAAAAATTTCCATAGCAGAGTCCTACGCCGATTGTGTGCGTCAATTCCCATTTGTTAGGTGATGGTGGTGCTTGCGGTGGTGGGTCTGGTGGTTCTTGTGGTGACAATGTGTGCTCGCGCGCTTTTCACCACTCTCGGCTATCGAATGCGGGAATGGAAATGAAATCGAATGAAGTGCATATCGCACCCCAGAGCAGTCGCAATTAAATGGCACTGGCAGCATTTTCGGTACTCGGCGCCAAGCGAAAAATCAGTTTACAACGGAAAGCACAAAGCGACGGTCGTTAAAATTTACACAAACTACGGGAAAATAAATAAAAAATAAATAAATAAGTAAATTAAATAAAAATAAATGAAATCCCAAGCAAAAGAGAATTTAACGTAAATTTTGCTTGGTTACGAAAAAAGGTGTTGGAATTCCCCTGAGTGTGTTTGTTGTGTGCATTAAATTCCACGAGTTGCCAAAGAATTTGGCCAGCGAGGCTAATAAAGCGATACGTGTCCTGCGCGAGGCAAAATCCGCCCCAAAACCCAGAAGCTAAGCCAACCCAAAGTTTGGTACGTTGTCGCATGGAAAAAGAAGTGAAAGAATGAAGCACAGATGAAATAGCGCATAGCATTTCGAAGCACTCGTATCCTGACGTGTCCTGCGCACGCAGCACATGCGAGCAAAGACACGCATAGACACATACATTGACGTGTGTGTATATGTATGTTGATATAAGCAAAAGGGATGCACGTGCTTTGGTCGAATTGTCTTTGCTTTTACACTACGAGTATTTAAATATTTGCATACAAAGAGCTTCCAAAAATACAATTTGAGTAATCAGCAAATATTTGCATGCACGTCGCTGGTTTTTTCTTTCTATTTTATTTTATTTGTATTAATTTCGAAGCGAAACATTAAAAATCGAGTCAAGTTTATGTCTCAACGGTAACAGCACGTGTTGCAGCAGCTACGTCAATTTCATAAATGTCAACTTATACATCATATTTATTTATTTATCTAATCGCCATTTGAGTGGGCGTCAGTCGCCTTTTAAGTCATAAACATAAATATTTGCCATGCATGAAAATGCATTCGAATACTTTTCATTTTCATACCACAAGCTTTTCACGTCTGCTCATCCATTCACACCTCTCACATTCTCCCTTACCCAATCTGTTCCTCTCTTGCACCTTTTCTCTCTCTCTCTCTCATGCCTTCTCTCTTTCTCTCATTTGCGTGATGTGGTAAAGGGAAATTGCATTGAGGCTGGCAATGGCATTGGCTGGGGGTTGTTCTGCCCAAAAATGTGGAATATAAGTGAAAAGCTCACACTCACGACAAATCGCCCTTCCTCTTAGATACACAGCCTCAGCCGCATCCTCATGTTTGCCCCAGTCGATGCCAACAAAAATATCAAAGAAAAAAAAGAGCATACGAAAGTGAACTTTGTGCTTGGCTGATTGCATTTTAGACCTGGCTCCTCCTTCTCGCTCTCACTGCCTCTGACAGAGCGAGAGCGAAAGTGCCTGGCGCTATATAAGGCATTGGCTATTTAGTTTTTGGCATTTCCCAAGGCATTTGACGGTGTGATGAATCGCTTTTACTTACATATATCTCACCATAATTCTATTGATTAAGTTTCTTTTTACATAGCAGCCTTGTCTCGCATATATCAGCTGCTTTTGAGTGTCGGATAATGAAAGGTTTCCATGGAATCGCAGGAAATCGGTTTAAAACGAGAAACAGCTGAGCTTCATCCAACTTATGTTACCATTACTTCAATAGCTCAACGACTAGCTGTCTATTTGATATTTAATATCTCTTTAACATTTTAGTAGTTTGTCAGGCTCAACAAGCTTAGCTAATTGCTTATTCATGATGAGAAGTCGGCTTTAAATAAAACCTTTATTCTGAAAAATTAAGTTTCATATTTTTAGTACGTCGCTCTAATAATATTAAAAAGAAGCATCTATCTAATACTCGGTGAAAACTTTCCATGTTCCCAACAGCTGAGCCACAGCCACATCAGCTGCAAGTGTTTATATAAGAATTCTGACAAGGTTAGGATGTATAAACAATAATGAAATACAAAACCATTGAGTGAAGCAGCTAAAGCTAAACTCAAAGTAGTTTAAGCAGTGCCATGTGGCTCCAACCAGTCCAGTCCAGCACAGTCCAGCCCAGCCCAGTCCAGTCTATGGACAGACAGAGACTAACGCGGATTTCCAGGAAGCCAAATGTAACAATCAAGGCCAGAAACAGAAAGAGCGCAAGAGAGACGGCAGGCAGCAGCAGGAGGCAAGGTTAGGGATGCTGCACTTGAATTTTACCATCGACTATATATTATATGTATATATGTATATGGCGTAGATTTTCGGCGCCAAATGAATTACTTTCATTGTTAGACCAGAACAAGTGAAAACCTCTCATTGGGATGGAATACTCTTTTTATACATAGTAGGAGAAGGTTGTTAATTTTGTTATTGCTTACTTTTCAATTTAAACATAAACATTATTTGGAACATACTAAATTACTATAAATATAATCTAAAACAAAGTATTGTACATAGGAAAACGCTTAGAGCAGAACTCAGTTCGATTTCCTAGGTAAATAACTTATCAGATTAGACTATAGACGTATTCTAGCTAACAAATTTTGCCATATATAAATGGTAAGATTATATCTAAATCTAATTGAAATCTTAAGCGTGTAAAGCAAGCATTTCCCTTGACTTCTTTAGAGGTCATCTTAATAGAACTATACATATATAATAGAACTATACATATATATGTGCAATGCTCGACCGACTGCACAATCCCAGCAGAGTGAATATATTTTCAAGAGCAAAGGCCAAATGAAACGTTTTGCTACATTTGAGTGAAGCAATTTTGAAAAAGTGCCGCCAGCTAACCCGCGCAAATGCCAAAATATGTCGAATCCAAAAATAGCTCGGAAATGTGCAACTATTTACATGCATTGGCGGTGTTTACAAGTGCAACAGCGACGCAGCGACGCAGCGACGCCGCGGTGCGCGCTCTGGAAGCAATTACAAATTCGAAAAAAGCCATAAAAAATGCGCAAATCGATTGCATGAATTGAATGCATTTTATAGGCAATCAAACTACATGATTTATGTAAAATAGTTAAGACCCTAACACTGTCTCGCTCTCGCTATCTACCGCCGTCTCCCTCATGCTCATAGCCCTATCGGTTGCCTCAATTCACTTATCGATTTGCTCTGACAAACACGCCATGTCATATGCACTCAGGCTCCCCCGTGTGCCACATCTGACGTCCCTTCCTATCCAAAAATTTTTGATACATGTGTGTGTGTGAGAGAGAGTGTGTCTATCGGTGTGCTTTAAACCTGACGGAGCCAGCAACAATAGCATTAAAGCAACCCCGCGAGTGCCCTACGTGCTTTGAAAAGCTGAAAGAGGGTTGAAGTTTAAATACCCTGTAGTCAAGAAAATAATATGAGGAAAGTAGGTTTGTCATAGAAGGTAAAATATTTAGAATCATAATCAATATAAAATAAAAAAGAAATATAAATACAAATAAACTAATGATAATAATAATATATTTATTATATATTATTTATTTAATTATATTGCTGCATTTAATATATTTAATATACAAGCAAATAAATATGTTTTTGGTATTGAAATATTCTAGACTACTACTAGATATATAGACCACGAATAATTATTATAAGGTTTTAATCAGATATCCTTTCCTTTGAAAAGGTAGAAAATTTCGTACTGATATTTCTGTATGTTATCAAAAAAAAAAAAAAAAAAAAAAAAAAAAAAAAGTGGAAAGCATACTTCCTATGTGGGACTATTTATAAATAATACATTGAATAACTGTCTTTAAAATATAATATATTCAATATTAAGAGAGCTGTAATTCTATTTATTTATATTCCTTTTATTTTAATTCTTATAAAGAGGTTTATATTTCATTTACTTTTTTATGTTTACTATCTACAGGGCATCCGCTAGTCGAGCTTTACTTGTCAACAGCACGCTTTCTTGTTTTTAATATAATATTTGGCACGACGCAATTTCAAATCGTCCTTTATTCTGGTTTTCAAGTTGAGCCGCACCAAAAAAGACACCAACACAAATGCCAAATGGCAAGCTTTTTTTGCCCTGAGTGTGAGTGAGTGTGTGTGTGTATGTGTGTGTATGTGTGTGTAAAAGGTATACATAGGTATAGTTGTTTTAGGGGTTACACGCTGGTATATTTCCATTCATTTAAAATGTATTTCTGTCTTGGGGAAGAGCTCGCTGTGCTATTTGAGTTTGGTGAATCTGTTTGCATTTTGTTTGTTATATAATTGAACTTCAGCAGGATATCTGCATACTGATATATACAGCTTGATATGGAGTATATGAATGGAGTATATATATATATATATACATATATATATATATATTTATATATATATATATATGTATATGTATATGTATATATGTATATTTGAGTGTGCCTATTGCCAGGCTAGGCCCTCAGCCTGCCCGAGTGCCAATAAAAACGATTTGAGCCATAGTGTATTATTGAGCAATTTCCTATGAAAATTGTTTAAGCATTCTTTTGCACACCGCTTAGGGGCTAAAGCACATCCACACAGACACACATACACACACATATATATGTAGATAGCTGCATAGCTTGGCGGTGACAGGGCCAGGGCCAGACGTGTCCTGCGAATAGTAACTAGTTGACAGCTTAAGCTTTATTTAGAAAAAACGCCGGTCGGGCGTGCTCGAGGAGTGAGCCCGCTGCCAGGTGGCTTGAAAAAAAAAAACAAAAACAAACTGCGACGTAGAAATCTCAGCAAGCCAACGACAACAATAGCTAAATCAGTCAACAACAATGGCCAGCCTCGGCGCTCAGCGCTATTGCAGGACGTTTATTTTTGCGTTCAGCTTTACGTAACACAAGTGGGATTGTGTAACCAACAGAGAGTGAAAAGGATAGAAAGGCCGGGACAGAACAGACAGCGGGGCTTTAACAATAATAATGAGAACAACAAAAACAATAACAGCAGCTGTAATAACACTAACAACAACAACAACTGCTGTAACAACAGCATTTGTTTGCACTAGGTCAAGGGTGTTTGCTCAAAGCAAAGAAATCATTTTCAATGCAAAATCATCTTGACTTTGTTGTTATTTTGCGTTTGTTGTTTTTTTCTGCAGCACTTGATTTAAGCATTTACAATTATGAATAATTATAATTTATTACAATTAGGGGCAAGTCGTTCCTCTTTATGGGTCTATCGGAACCTCCTCCAAATACGCAATTGCTGCTGGTTGTTTGCTTAAGGCAGCCAAAGACGTCATAGCGCATTACGTATACGCAAAGTTGGACACAGCAAAGAAGTGCCAACACTTACACACTCACACGCACATACATTTATTTTATATACATATATACAGTCGCACACCCACACAGACACACAGAGCCCACATCTAGGCGCATTTGGCATCAATGAAGCGGCTGTCGCTGCAGGACGCCAAAATAAAAGCTTTTCGCTTAGCTTTCAACGTACTCTAGCTCGCTCGCTCTCATCAGTCCGTACCCTCCCTGTCTCTGTCTTTTGTGGTGAGTTTCTCTTTCATTTGTGCAGCAGTTGCGCCTGCTGCTTCTTGCTGCACAGCTGCTTACACACATATCCACGCTCACACCCACACCGTGTACGCTCTGCCACTCTCTTACGGCTGTTTGCCACCTTCTCCCTCTCTCTTTCTCGCTCTCTCGTTGTTTCTCTCTCTGTATCTTTCTTTGGTGCTTTTGCTTCCGCATGGCTTGGACTTCCGCTGGCGACAATTTTTACTACGTCAGCAGGCGAGACGAGCCTCCAAGTAAATAGCACACATTACATAGACACAGCTGTGGATATGTATGTTTGTATACATACATACATATACTCATGTACACATATAATTATATATATGTGTGTTTGTGTCTGTCTGTGTTTGTGTGTGTGTGTGTGCGTGTTCCCTTTGCTTTTTGTTTAATTAGCTACGACCTTCTGCCACAGTTTGTTTGGTTGAGTTTGGGGCTTATATGTTTTGAGTGCAGTTTTGGGCTAATGGCAGGGCATGAACTTGCAGCAGTGACTCTCAAACTGTGTCACAAGCACACACACACACACACAGCAACAGAGGTAATAGCACTGTATGTGTGCCAGTGCCGTTTAATTAGCTGTGACCTTTCCATGGAAAACTGTTGACATTTGAGCTTTGGCTGTAGACAATAAGAAATGTTTGCCAGCAAAAAAAGTTCCAGCTACTTAGCTTAACTAAGTTAGTTAATAAATTTAAGTACACAAGTTGGCGCATAAATTGCACAGCAAAAAGGAAATTTGCTTAATGGACTAGCAGTTGGGTCGCAAATTGAGTTAAGCGTCGGTAGGTAGAGACGCCCACGCGCCAGGCCACTTGAAAGCACAGCTCAAGGACGAACCAAAAAATGGCAAGCAATAACAGATTTCCATATAAAATTCATGAGTAACTAACACAGACACACACACACACACACAAACTAACTTATACACACGCACACTCTCAGAGAAAACTCTGGGTAACTTATTGATCAAACAGCCAGAATGTCCTCAAAGAGTTGCATGCTGTGTGTATGTTTGTGCCACAGTAAGAGACGGACAGTATGAGTGAGTTGGAGAGAGAGATAGAGAGAGAGAGAGAGAGCTATATGAGCGTATATGAATGTTAGAGGTATTGACTAGTCTATGCCCTGGCCAAAGCTGTCCAAGCTTATGTTATCTTCCTTATTTAATTACTTTATATATATACATTATTAAAGATGGTTTAAATAAATTCTGTAGGAATGCAGGATTTTATATGAATATATCAAAAATATTATATATATAAAAAAAAGTTCATAAGAATTTATTGTAATTAAGTAATGGTAATTGTTTTCTACGATGCATGATGCATGGGAGTTTAAAATATTCATTGAAATGCACTTCTTGCTAAAGCTTAAGATGCAGGTTAATACAGTTTAAGTAAGTAACCATCATCAGTTTACTAATTTCTTTTTAATTTTCAACATTAAATAATCCTTGTGCCAATAAAGATGAAGACACGCTTTGGCTTCAGAGTTTGAACAGGGTATGCATGGCATGCCCAGAGTTGATTGCATCTATTAAACAAATTTATGACAGGCACAAGCTTCTGCATAGCTTTATATTTTCCTGACTACAGGGTATAATAAGTGTGATTGGGCTCGACTCTTAGACTGTGGCACATGCAACAGCGCACTCGCCTGGCCATATGTCAAGCGGCACACAATTCTTTAGAGACTGAGCACTCGCGGTTTATTCCAGCTCAGCTGTGCGACCGTAAAGCACGTAAACTGGCAGCTTGCTACAGAGAGACTAATTGTATTGCTTTTCCCTTTGTTGTCCTTGCAGACGTCGGCGGTTCGTTGGAAAGGCCAAGACATAGAGTTAATTGCCAACGTTGATGGCTGCCACCAAAATCATTGATGCACCGCGAAACGGCCACGAAATGGCGCCACTGAACACGAGAGCGCGGGGCGACGGCACCCATGGGGTGACCATTGTCCTCACTGCACCGCAGCGCAATTCGGTGCAATCGGTGGATATACCTGGCGAGCCAGACCGCGCGGCCTGGAGTGGCAAGATGCAGTTCTTTCTCAGCATCATTGGCTATTCCGTGGGCCTGGGCAACATATGGCGCTTCCCGTACCTCTGCCAGCAGAACGGCGGCGGTGAGTAGTAGTACCTAATGCTCAAATTGAAGAGTCTATCGTATTACCCAGAAGTCTCTCTAATAACACTCGGTCGACGAACGACCAAAAATGTGCAACGCTTTTCACTAATAAAAAACGTGTGCCACTCAATGGGTGCACTTGGCAACCCGCTGATAGCGGACAAATACCTCGGGGAGTTCCAATTACAATCACAATCGCAGTTCCACTCCCAGCGAAAGCCAATCGTCACCTGTTCGCCGTTGATAAAGCTAATTACTTTCGCTGCAGCTGCTCGATATTGGGTGCAGTCGTTGGCCGCAGGAGCGGAGCAAAATTGTTCTGCCATTTGGCGCATGTTCCTTAAACACAAAGGCAAAGAGAGTACAGTAGAATCCGACTATATTGACTCCGCTTCAAGCGTCTGTACGATCATTGGGACGAAAATTCTGGGCCCCAGACAAACTTATCTTAGAAATCTTAATGGGCTTAGCGACTTCCGGGTATAATGACGTTAAAGTCGGATTCTACTGTAGCGGAATTGACTTAAAACTGTATTGTAAGCTTCAAAGTATTTCCGTCTACAAGGTTGAATTACGGCTTCCTATTCGTTACTGTTAATCGAGGCTTCCTATTACGAGAAATAAGAAATTGTATATAACTTGTGGATTGAGTAAAAGATACTTGAATTACTTTAAAGGTTTTCACTGCAAGTTAAACATTAATTGTTTTTTTTTTAGAAAATTCATAAAAATTTCTCAATCAGCATTTATCTACAGCTATTCCAAATAAAACCGCAAACCCATTTGAGCCCCCTCTCACAAATCAAATTAGTCTTTTGGGCCCTGGTCACTGCTAGCTCCGCTCCTGGCTGTTATTTACATACAAACCGATATCGTGTGTCTGCTAAGGCTAATCAAATGCGCAACAATAACATTATGAGATTTAATGCGAACTAATTGCAGAGCTTTCGAATGGGCGAATGAGTGGTTCGGCTGGGGCTCTGATGGGCTCTGATGGGGTTGAAGGGCAAGGGTTATTTGCATATAATTTGTGCGCCTGCCGGAAGAGCTTAATTGGGGGCTTTTCTTTTTTGTGAGGCGGGTTAGACCGGAGCGCCTCGTGCCAAACAACGCATTTTTATTGAAAGACACATTCCAAGCTTAAATCCCACACGCTTCTAATTCAATTACGAACGAGACAAAAGGCAAATGAAGCAACAAGTAAATGCAACGAATAGGAAATGCACTCACCTGAACCAGAGCCCGCAATATTTTCTACATATACCCAGCATATAAACAAAACAATAAATATCAATAAAATGCCAAATGTGAAATGTGAATCGATGAGCTCTTGTCTTTCCATATGTTGCAGGCGCATTTCTGATACCCTTTATGATCATGTTAGTATTGGAGGGCATACCGCTCTTCCTCATCGAGCTGGGCATGGGACAGCGCATGCGCCTGGGCGCTCTGGGCGTGTGGAATACCATACATCCCTGGCTGGGCGGCATCGGCATCTCCTCGTGCATTGTGACGCTGTTCGTGGCGTTGTACTACAACGTGATCATCACGTGGGTCTTCTATTATCTGTTTAATAGTTTTCGAGTGAGTCTCTAATCCAGTCTAGTCTATCTGCAGCTCTGTAATATTCTCTCCTTGCTTGCTTAGTATCCGCTGCCTTGGTCGACTTGTCCCACTAATGGCACTGGGTTTGAGCTGGAGGAGTGCGCGAAGTCTTCGGAGACCACATATTTCTGGTATAGAACCACCTTGGATGCGGCTCCCTCGATGGATGAGCCCGGCGGCCTGAAGTGGTGGATCGTCCTCTGCTTGCTGCTCTCGTGGACCATCGTCTTTTTCATTGTGATGAAGGGCATCCAGAGCTCCGGCAAAGTGGTCTACTTCACCTCGCTCTTCCCCTACATTGTGCTGACCATCTTCTTCATACGCGGCATCACGCTGCGCGGAGCCGGCGCCGGACTAATGCACATGTATACGCCGAAGGTGGAGAAACTGCTGGAGCCGACAGTCTGGCTCGACGCGGCCACGCAGGTATTTTACTCGTTTGGCTTAGCCTTCGGCTCGCTGATTGCCTTCGGCAGCTACAATACGCCCAAGAACAACTGCGTCCGAGACGTGCTGCTGGTGTCTGTCTGCAATGCAGTCACTGCCATCTACGCGAGTGTCGTCATCTTTGCTATTCTCGGCTTCAAGGCCACCGTCAACGTGGATCGCTGTGTGGCCAGGTGAGTGCATACAATTTGTACCCAATACAAAGTCCAGCACAATAGAGGGTATACAGCCATTAGCATTGTGTTTTTGATTACTGTAACCCCACATGATAATTTCAGTGAGAGTTCATACTTCGATATGCACTCGAAGCTTATGTCACAAGTGTAAGAGTTCACTTACATCTAATTTAAAGAGTAAAGAGTATCTTCTCTATTCTACTTCTACTTTATTGAGCTGGGGTCAGGTCATTGCAAGTTCAACAGCACGCTTCAACGATTCACATTGGGTGGGTCACACAGTTGATAATTCAGTCCATCAGCCAGCCAGTCAGTTAGTCAGTCAGTCAGTCAGTCAGTCTGTGTACTCGTTCATCAACCAGTTGTAACCGCATTGGATAGCGGCTTTGCCCATCATTCTCTTTGTTATTTATTCATTGATATACCAATCGATACGCGCTCGTCCGTCCGTTCGTCCAGCAGGTCCGTCTGTTTGTCAATTTGTTTCAATTAATGGGCGCTGCACAGGTTTTTGCATTGTGTCCCCGCCGCCAGCTTGCCCGTCCCTTGCATTATTGACAATTGCTCTTGAGCTATTTGCATGGCCCATTTGAGTAGGTGGCGCCCAGGTATCGAGCCATTGTCTACAATGCTGATTGTAACCGATTTGAGCTGGCTATCCAATAACTCGCTCTTTATTTATAGCAACACGGACATATTAGTTAAGCATGCGCTGTTGCCCTTCAAGAATGCCTCCAGCGAGGAATACGAGGCAGTCATGCAAAAGATCAATGGAACCGAACTCGATGCACTGCATCTCAGTGAGTGCAGCCTGTCCAAGGAGCTGGACAACGTAAGTACTTTAATAAAATATAATATAAATATATAATCTAGTATCACATGAGTAAATATTGCTATTTGAAGTTGAAGTCTCTTATTATGATCCATCACAAATTGAGCAATCAGTTTTTTTTTTTTCGAATCCATTAGCTTAATAAATCGGAAATTAGACAATAGAAGCATTTTCCATGCATAATTTATGTGTCAATATAAATTCTTATTTTTTTTCGATTCATTTGCCTTTATTACATACAAATCTATCATGATTATTTCTTAAGACGCGATTCCCACTGCGTTTTATCGATTATACTAAAAAGTCACCTACGTCCAAATTGTATTGTATATTCAATTATTTTTGATAACTCTATCAGTTGGTAAAATATATCTAATGAACATAGTATCATTAATTGCGATAGTGAAAATAATGATGATCTTTTGCATTGTAATAATGATGATGGTGATGATGAATGAAACAACGATAAAATAACAAAGTTATGTAAAAAGGTAATCAAAATAATTGTAGTAATAAAAGTGATGATAGCTATCGCTGATAATAATGCTAATGACAGTGATGAAGATAACAATGATTCAACAGACACTTTGATTTACATGTAAACTTAGTTATACGACTATCTGCTTTCATAAACCAATTCACTTTCCGATATTTATGTCTAGTTGAAATAAATTCAATTGCTAATTTCACAGGCCGCGGAAGGCACCGGCTTGGCATTCATTGTCTTCACTCAGGCTATTGTGGAGCTGCCGGGCGCACCGTTCTGGGCGGTGCTGTTCTTCACCATGCTACTGTCGCTTGGGCTGGGCTCACAGATTGGCATTCTTGAGGGGATGCTGTGCACGTTGTTCGACATAGACATCATCAAGCGGGTTAAGAAACAACATGTCACTGGTGTGGTATGTCTATTCTGCTTTATTGTCGGTTTCATCTTCTGCACAGGTGCCGGTGAATATTGGCTCAAGATGTTTGATTCTTTTGCCGGTACAATTGGCTTGGTTGTAGTCGCCCTAATGGAAATGATAGCAGTCATATTTATCTATGGCCATGAGCGGTACGCAATTCCTTATATAGCCCATACATATACACAGCTATAAAATATTCTTATATGTTTATACAGCTTCACCGAGGACATCTATCAGATGACAGGCTATAGACCCGGAGTTTACTGGCAGATGACCTGGCGCTATATTGGTCCGGTTATCATGGTCTGCATTTTGGTCTCCTCCATAGTCTTTATGGTCATTCGCAATCCGACATACGGTGCCTGGAATGCCGAAAAGGTATAAAGAGGCGCATCTGAGCATTTTTGTTGGCATACTAAATATGTTTGTTTTTTGGTCTTTGTTAGGGTATTGTTGAACAGAAGGATTATCCGAACTGGGTCATGGGCATTGCCCTCGCCATGATCTTGGCTGGTGTATTGCCCATGCCCATTGTGTTCCTCATGCGCAGCTTCCAGTGCCTCAAAGTGGATCTGGACATACACCAAGGCTCCATCAGGCGCAATGAGACAACCGCCTCAACTAAGGAAATGATTGACAACGATGACGACGTGAGTAGCAGCTGGTTGAATGTTTTGATTTTGAGAACCTCTTTAGTTTTGCAAAGTACTTGTATCTAACTTTTGGTCCAAGTTATTTGTTGTGTTTGTTTTGATAAGACCTTAAGCTAAGATAGTGTCTCTATCTAACTCTCTATCGTACTATAAATGTAACTAATTGTGTCTTTCTCTCACCAAACGACTCATCCCACACATTTACGCTTGTTTCTCTATCTGATTAATACCGCTTTTCCAAAAAAAAAAAAAAAAAAAAAAAAAATTAAATACAAAAAATGATCGAAAACAAACTTACATCCTTCACGCGCTTAATGTCGTTCAGAATTTGAGTCCGGATATGCCACCGCAAGATTTATTAGCGGCCACACGCTTCACAATTGGAGACTTTGAAGTAAGTTGTTCGTTTACCTATCCGCAAAACAATCTATCCAGTACAACACACGCTCCCCAACAATCTGCTAATCACACAATTCTCGACTCTGTTCTCTCTTTCTCTTTCTCCTCTGTGTCATATTGTATATTCTACAGAACTAGAAACTGAAGTACTAAACACATCCAACAAGATACCTAACCTTAAACTTAACTAACTCAAAAAGTAGCCTCCCACAAAAATAAAAAAATAAAAGAACTAAGATGAAAAGAATTGACAAACAGTAACGCCTGACACCCACGCTGTGAGGATAAATTTCACGCGCCGTCTGCCTGACTACAAATACCCTACAAAAACAAAAGCCGCACTCACATTACGTAACAATCCGAACCGATCCGCATTCGCCACTAAGTAAACTATGAATACTTTTAAAGACGCACAGCCAAAACTTAACAGTAGCAAAAGATAAATTAAAAAAAAAAAAGAAAAAAGAAAACAAAAACAATCGCAATGCCATTTAAATGTAATAGAGTTTGATAAACAACAAGCGATTAACTTCGATAACAAGTACTCGTCAGCGCCTTCTTTACAAAGAACAAAAACAAAACATAACTTCAAAATTGAAACCGAGAAAGAACAATTACAATTATTTACCAGCAAACTAGTTTAGTGCAATGTTTACGAATTAAGCTAAATATTTATAAACTAAAGTTTATACCCGTAACGCTCACCTAGAAGCTCAATGTTTAGACCTAGGGCTGTAGCATAAACAAAGAAACAATACTTTCGATTGGCTAGAAGACGGTTCTGAATTGCAATTCCAGAAGGTAAAGTAAATATCCAAGACAACAAAATAACTTGTTGTTACTATTACTTCAAAATTTGTTCTCTTGTTTTATTGTTGTTTTTGTATTTGTGTTGAATCAAGTGTGTAATATATATTTTTATTAAATTTCTGTTATGGTTTCTTAGCAACGAAAACTGTCGCTGTGGGCGCTGCATGCGGCGCCCTCTGTCGGTTGTTAACGAGAGCTTTTGCCGTCGGCTTGTAGCTTTGTGATATTGCGCATACGCCGCGTGTCCATCTGTTTTGTGTTTAATAACAAATAAGCTGAACATGAATATATTTGTTATTTATAGATATATTTTTATTATAGGATATGCTGTGGTTGACATATTTAATAATATATTGTCTTTGCAATAGGAGGACGAAGATGACGAGAATGACTTTAGTGGGCCCGCATTGGGCGGTCATGTGAAAACCCAGAGTGATTTCTCCGACGAAGACGAGGAGGATAAGCCCATGACTATGCGTATGATGATGATGCGCTCGACAACAATTAATGCAGCCACGCCCCTTAAAAAAATGGGCGGCAATCATCTAAATGTGCCAACTAGCAGAAAGCAAAACTACAAGAAGGACGCCTACGATGTGTAGATAAACAAGTGTGGCCAGGGTAAGCCGAACCTTTCAAGTGTAGGGTTCAAGTCAAAGAGATACCTATAAAAATATGCATATATAATATATGTATGCATATACATACATACATATGTGTATATTTTTTGGCAATATGCTAAAAATATATATGTATACTGCGAAGATAGCGCAAAAAACCATTTATATGTTTACACTAAGTATTTTAACAAAATTTATATTTAAAGAAACTTAGGATTAAGAGAAAGGTAACATAAGATAAAATATTATATAACAGTTTAAGAAATATGTAAACCCGAAATTGTTAAAACAATATTTTAATACCCACACTCACACACAAACACACTCTTACACACAACTAAACTATGTACAATGAGCTACAATTGAACTAAAAACGGGTTATTGAAGAGAGTAACAAAAAACACATATATAATCTTAATCCATTTCCGTTTCCGTAGCATTTAGTTGAAAACTGTTTTTAGGCGTTAACTGTTAACTTTATTAATCCCAAAATATATATTATATATACAATATATAACCCAGTTGTATACCCTGCCTAGCCTTGAGGACTTTTAATTGCTAAACGCTTTTCGTAGTGTAATCCCAAAGAAACTTTTAACCAATCGCATTTCCAAGAGTTTAACTCATTATCTTTTATTTACCTAGTAGCATTCAGTTTCAAGTTCAACTTATCATGCCCAATACTGAAAACAAGAAACAAACAATATATTCAGTTTAGCTCTACACGAATGAAATATACGAAGATTTACATGTATATGTATATATGCAAAAGTATTGTATTAATAATATGAATTCATTGAAATGTGAACGATAAGTTAATCAAGTTGAAATATTTATGAAAACACTAGTTCAGTTGTTGACTGCAAATAGAAAGAAATACTTAAAAGAAATACCAAATATATACTAAACATACTAACTGACAAGCAAAACAGAAAGTAAACCAAAAAACTAAAAAAAGAAAAAAATAATGAAGCATAGCATGTGTGATATTCTAAATAATATCCTCGAATGTTAGTCTACACTGTCTACAGCCACTTGCTTCTACTTAACCTCAATTTATTTAATTTTGAATATTTGCTGCCTACGCATTCATACATACACTGGAAGTATTTTCTTACATACAAAAAATAACTGCTGTGAATAGTTTTAGTCGTTGTAAAATTCTATTACAAGAGATCGAAGAATTACGAATGAAAAATAAACGTTATAAATAATTATATATGAATAATTTTAAGATGGTATTAAGCTCTCTGATCTGACCGGTTCAGATCTAATCAATCCCTCACCTAAGTTCACTCTAGCAGATCAAAAAAAAAAAAAAATAGAAAGCACACACACACACATAATCCTATTCCAAATTCGGTTTCCGCAAAACCACTGCAACAGGTTTTTATTACCAAACAATCCACAGAACCCATATAATCAAAAGGAAAATGATTAAAAAGAAGCGATTTCGGATCAAGCAACATAAGAATAATCAAAAATAGGAAGGAAGACACGGACATTTTCAGTACTCGTAAAAGGCAAACGTTGAAGACAATAAGCATACAAAATATAAAAATAGAGAATACTTATGATATGATGACGAACTGGACAGAACTGGACTTCGAAGGAAGCGCAACTTTTTACAGAGATTTTTTATGATTTACAATTTTTCGAAGAGAGATTTTTCAAAATTACATAAACCAAATAGAACAGTACACCAATTTCCTTTTGCAGTCTGTATAAATCGTAGCGGGATGGTAAAGCCATCTAAGAGTTCGATTAATGTACCTTTGCGAGTTAGTTGAGTTAGTTGATAAGCAAAGAACTAGAGCAGAGGAAGCATTCAGCTGAGTTAAGGAAAAGCTCATATATATCTAAATATAGATATGTATAGCTTAATATATGAAATTTGTTGACACACTTAGAGCCCAGAAATATCCAATTTGAATGATTTACAGATAAGGTACTCATAAGTGTTATAAACGTATAACGCTCCACAGCAAAAAAAAAAAAAAAAAAAAGAAAGATATGGAATACGAAATACAAATTATATTGAAGCAGTTAAGAGCCATCAGATCATATCCTCGCAAACCGTTAACCGAAACCAAATAGTTACCAAAATCTTATTGTATAGTTAATTCACAACTAATTCTTAACTCAAACATACTATAAATATATTATATAGACATATATACATATATTGTATATCAATTATTGTCGTAGTGCTTAAGGGGACTAAACCATATATATATATTTATACGTGCATATTGCATATACATATGTATGTGTATGTGTATATGTATGCATGCAAAGAACATGGACTCGTGTAAATTTGATTGTATTTAAAACGTAAAGTGAAATTACTTATGTGAAACATTATTATGATATACGCAGGTAATTATGATTAAATAAAGATATATATAAATAAATAAATAGTGCGTTAAGTTCAAGAAAAAGAGCAAAAACCAACAAGACTTTGAATTATTTTTCAATCAACGTTGAATTGGAGGGTATTATATATAATATACATATACATACATATATATATATATATATATTTGGTTATTCTGATCTGTTTTGTACACAGACATTACAAAATGTGAATTCGTTCTACTGGGTCATCATAATGTCTTTTATGGACATATTACGCTCCATTCGCTGCAATTAATTGTTTTTGTTTTTTATTATAATTTGTTTTTATAATTCTCACAAGCCAAAAGCTGAAAGAAATTCTCATGCGCAGATTAGGCTTATCGCCAGGGTTCAAGTTTCGGTTTGGCTGAGTTGGTTTTTTGCAGTGCTGCAAAATCAGCATTTGATAAGTCATGAGCAATCTACTTCTTCTCTTTCTCTTTTTGACTCTAACTGATTGCCTCTCTCTCCTTGCGTGTCTCTTTCTCTATGGCTCTCAGGTTAACAGCTCATTATACAAGTGCAGCGTGTGGGACCATAGTTCAGCCAATGGAGGCGCTCTCATGGTAGAAATTTTAATTAAAAACACCATTAAATGTGACATTGGGGCAGCCGAAGAATTCCATATTGCAAGCGAGAATAACAATAATAATCGTGTCGATACTGATCAATTGATAAGCTGGTCGTACGCCGACGGTAGGCAAATTATATATGTTAAATATCATGTAGACTAGCCCATGCCCTGTGCCTAACTTGTGGAACTCCATTTTTCTCATCGATGAGTTTTACAGAGAGCGAAAAGAAAAAAAAAAACAGCTAACTGATCATAAAAATAGTTAAGCCTGATTTTTAATGATATTTTAAATGTCTTAAACCTGCATATTAGAGGGTATATTGTTACGCTACCTTACGTCTGCAAACAAGGAAAATAAAAATTTGTAATATTCAACATATAAAACGGAATATCGCCAATAAATGTGCATTGATTATTTTAGTGAACGCTCAACAGGTTCTCTACATTTAATTTAAACAGTTGGAAACGATTCCAGCACAAACCGCTTTCATATGCTCTTAAAAATGAGAGACCAATATTCTTTTTGGGAAACTTCAAGTAACAAACTATAGGGTGTAAGGAATATGCCCTTTGTAAGTCGAACGCTGAATATAATAGTTAGATAAATCGTGTGGGTGCCAATTACTTCACAAAATTACTTTATTGTTTAGTTTTTGTTAGATAAAAAGATAGATACATCCTTTCATATAAATTGTATAAAGCATAATAGAATTTTTTTCGGTGGACACATCGTATCGCTGGGAGTTCTTTCATAAGCAGCTACAACAATATACCCTCTCTTTGACTCATTTTGCTGGGTATGCAAAATCAAAGCCACAAATAAAAGATAAGCTGCTCTGGCTGCGGCTGCTGCTGCTGGCACAGGCTCGGATGATGAATGATGTAAGCGGGACAGCCGCCTCTTGGGCCACAGGCCACATACATCGATAAGGAAACATTTAAATTTGGCGCAGGGGCAAGCGAGTTTGGCTGTCCGTGTGTGCTTGGCTGTGTCTGTGGGTGTGTGGCAACAGCTGAGCAGGTTGCAGTCATTTGGAAGGAGGAGGCGCGCCGTCTGGTGCATGCGGTGGGTGGCACGTACATGGCAATCGGCAGGCGATGTGGGCATGTCGCTTATCTTATCAGTCAGCGGGCGCTGCATAAAAAATACACAGAGAAAGAGAGAGAGAGAGAGCGAAATAAACTCAATCACACAGACACAGAGAAATGGTCGACTAAAATGTATGTACAAATACTCTGAATAATGTGTTGTACATATGTTACTTAAGCGCGCAGCCTGACGCAGAGTTTCAGTTTCGTTTGTTGTGTGAAGGCAGCAACAAGTGCCCCGACAGCAGCAGCAGCAGCAACAGTTGTTGAAGCGCAACAAGTGCCACGCGTAGACCGAGACCGAGAAAGGGAGAGAGGAAAAGAGTGAGAGAGCGAAGGGAGCTGAGAAAAATTGCCAGAGCTAAAAGCCCGCCACGTCTCTTCAATTAGCTCTGCTGCAGTTTTATTTAAATATAAATTCGCATTAAGGCATCCGCAAATTGATCAAATTAAACAACGAAATAAATTCATTAAACGCAATTCAATTGGCAGCCGCAACAGCTGAGCGAAAGAAAGCAAGGAAACGTGTAAAAAGTAAAAGGCGACAAGGAAAAAGGGAAAACCACAATACGTGCAAATGCTGTTCAAAGGCGTACAACTGCTGCGCGGCGGGTGAGTCTCAACAGTTTCCATGTAGAAAACTAGTTATAAATATGTCTATGTAGAGCTTTAAGCGTGTCAGTGTCGTGTGGTGGGTAATGGTACCCTCCAGGTAGCCTCTGTCATTGGCCAGCCTACTTAACTTACCTGTACGTTTTCTCACGTAAGCTGCAGATAACCTACCTCAATTTTAGGCTATATTACACTACTAAACAAGTGCTGCTTATCGCCGTGATCAAACAAAATGATTCATTATTGTAATTCATACATTCATACAGTTGAGGAAAGGAAAAATTCCATATTGAGCGTATGTATAGAGCAGATTACACTCGCAGATTTACTCCCATGAGAGAGCCTCAATGTTAATGTCGCAGATAGTCTATGGATCAATGCACTCGCTGTGGGGATGACAATAAGCACAGCAACTGCAGCTACAACAATAACAACTGCAATAATAAGCAAGAGTAACAACTGCAATAGCATCAAAGACCACAAAGCAAGCCACAACAGTTCTTAGTAGTCAGTCGCCCTCTCTCTCTCGCTCTCGCTCTCGCTCTCCCTCTATCTCTCAGTTTTTCATTCTCTATTTTACAAACACTTTACACACTTGTAGTTTGTTTATAAACAACTTTTTACGCGCGCTGCCACCCCCTTTTCACCCCTTTCCAATCACGTTTTATCAATGAATTTGCCCGCCCTAGTTGAGGTTTTTCTAAGGCGCTTGAAAGAAGGCAACACTTTTAAGATTTCCACATTGCGGTTGCCTAAGCAAAAGCTATGCGAGCAGTTTATGTAGTCTTTGAATGGGTTTCTTAGTATATTAAGTATAAAAAAACTACACATATTTATTAAAATTTTTTTTTTTTTTTTACTTTTATGGCTTAAGAAACTCTAGACGACAATAATTTTCATAAGAGAGTGGCGAAATAAAAAAGGCTATCTAACCTATACTTAGCTCTGAGTAAGCGTTCAAATAATATTGAGTAGACAATTACAACAATAGAGTCTACTGTTGTGGAAAATTTAAGTAAAGTTTGGAGACATTTTTCTTTTGCTCGAACAAATTAATTATTTTTTATACTTTGATATACTAAAGTTTTTAAAATCTAGTATATAAATGTTCCATCTCATTCTTAATGTTACATCTCATTCTTAAGTTTACCGAAAGCATAAGATTAATAAATAATAAATTAATAAATTTCACTGTTCACATTAGATTTGATTCAACTCTTATCTTGTTTTTGAAATTTTGATTTTAGCCTTGACTCGTTCAACAAAACAAATAGAATTCATGATATTTCTAAGCTTTCAATTGCCTCTTCCAACACAACCTAAGCAATTCTAACTGAACTTTTGATTTTATTTCCAAAGCATTAGTCCATTTAGCAATTTGCTATCAAGATTTGTGTCAAAGTTTTCCACTTGAGCAAATAACCTTATCTCTCAATGGCAATTAATGTCAGCCGAAGTCAATCTGTACAAGAAAGTGAAGCATACTTTTCAGCTGATCACAAAATGTCTCTCATTGTCTGCATACCATCACAACGAATTTGTATTGCATACTTTTGTGGGCGTAAAAGCTTTCGACGCGTCGAGCCGTTTCTTTGTTTTGCTTTGTGCCTTGTTTCTTTGTTAGCTTTCAGTCGGCGCCGCTGCACGTCCCTCGCTGTATTTCAACCGACACTGCGCACTGTTTTTGTGTTTTTGTTTTGGTTCCAGTTTTTTTTGCGCTGCTATCGGCGCTATCTGTGTGAGCAAGCAAGCGAGCACGATCTGTGCGCGAAGAGCGCCGCTGCAGTTGACCGACAAGTTTGGCTGCCTTCCCCCACGCACTCGTTGTCTGATTTGAAAGCCTGTGTGCGTGCATGTGTGTATGCGTGTGTGTGTGCGTGCGTAAATAAACACAAAGTGCGGTTTGCATTGGTGTGCTACCTTTGCTGTTGCTTTTGGGGCACTTAGCAACAGCGCCGGACACTGGAAATCAGAAAAACCAACATGAAAAAGAGAATTAAGAATAAGAGGAAAAAAGCACAATAAACTCTTTGGCTTTTAGCAGGCTTGTTTGGCTTGCTGTTGCCTTTTGTTTTGATAGCCGCTTTTTTGGTGTGTGGCGTGTTTTGGATCGGTCAACAACGTGTCACACGCTGACCATTTCGTATACCCTATGAATATTAATAAAGTGCGAGTATGATAGGAGTAAGGGACAACTTACCAAAATGTATATTTTGGTCAGCATTGAAATACAAGTTGATTTAAACTTGTTTTCCTCTCTGTTTATTTTCTTATGCCCCCGACTTTTATAGATATTACATGAATACAATCTTTATATACATATAAGTAAATTTGTCGACAGACAACTGTCTACAGGGTACTTCCAAGTCAATCAACTTTGACAACAGCCCTCTATAATTTTTGCACATGACTTGCATGGGTTTCCTCTTGGCGTCTACCTCTTTTCCAAGAGCTACAGTTATATACATATCTGTCAGATACAAAGCGTGGCAGACATTGTTGTGCTTGTGCAATCCACAGACAGGCAACAGACAACAGCCAACGACAACATCAGCATCAACAGCAGCAACTGTCAGTCTGTCTCTCTCTCTCTCTCTCTCTAACTGTGTCTGAATGATAACCTCAGACACCCCGAGCAACCGATAACAACAATAAGATTGTATTTATTGACGTCTCGCATTGGCATTTAGTTCGCTAGGCGAGCCCCCCAATCGAGCGAAACGGAACAGAAATAGAAATGCGACAAACAAAAAACACAATATTCGAAAATACAATAATATTTTTTGCATCCTAGGCAATTGAATGAATAACAACAATATTTGAATGGCATGTGTGTAGATGAATAATATTTTCCAGTTAACTGGAAAAGTCTCGAATTTCGATTACTCAATGAAAACAATTTGAAGCGCAGCAGATATACTCACGAAAATTTCACCTGCTAATTACGCTTTACCGTAATGTTTAGAGCTTATCATTTAATTGTTTGTTTACTACACTCGCAATAATTATCATACCAATTTCAAATTTCGATTCGGTTTCAAAGAATTCCTCGTTGCTGATAAGATTAGATAGCTAATGGCTGTATATATGCTTAATTTCGATAGTTGCGAGTAAACACATGTTTTATATGCGCCATCGATGGTATTTTCGATGACGTGAAATATATTTTATATGCACTGCGAGAAACGCGAGCTTAAAAGGTGAAAAAACTGCAAAATATATTTATTAAAGAGCCAGCTTAAGGTGGCCTCTTTTTCTCACTGTTTACTCTTCTTCTCTGGAGAAATATTAAGACAGAGAAAGAGTGTTTGAATATAACGTATTTGAATATATTTCATTACAACTCTTTCTTTAAAGTATTTTCAGATATAAGATTAATTAATTAAGAAATCACATGATTAAATTAAATGCGTCCGATCATTTTACTGGCTATCCTTCAATATTCTTGTCTCCATTCTCCCGCTATCCCCTTCACTCAGTTGCTTAACTGCGCCACAGAACGAGACTTTGCACCCACTGCATCCGAGTGCGCCTGCATAGACATCGCTTGGGGCGTTGTTTTATGTATATATGTATGTAAGTATATTACCTTCCACGTCACTTACATATATACATACATGTATATACATGAAATGCTCTACAATCTACGCAGACAGACAACTTATATACGCCTACATTATGTAGAAGTCCACGCTTATCAGCTGGCAAACACACACACTCTCACATATCGAGTCGATGTTTCTGGTTGTCGCTTGGACTTTGATATGCAATAAAGCCTCATTAAATTTAATAAAGCGATACGAAAAAACTTTTTGAGTTCTCTAAAACAAACTAACGTATTAGTATTATTAGTTGGAACTTAGTTCTTGTGGAGCAACATTCAACAACACTGTCGACCTTGGCACTGAGCTAGTGGCATATTTTGTTGAGTGGGTCTCGCCTCAGACAACAGTATTGGAGCTTATTGGAGTTATTAGTGTGAGCAATAAATGTTATACTACTTATAGCCTATCAACACATATTCAATGCTGTATAAGTCCTAGATTGTACTCAGAATACGTTTAATCGTATAAACAGCGAATTTACCAAAGATCGACTATTGAATTTATATGTTTTAATTAGAGAGAAATACTTCATAAATTATACTATTTATAATTTATGAAGTATTTCTCTCTATGTTATTATAGTGTTATCTTGCGCAGCACCAACTAAAAAAGAGTTATTCTAAACTAGTTCACACTGGAAATTTTAAAGTCGAGTATAATCTATTCTGATTGATCTTGATCTTATTTGAAATTAGGACAATTGATAAAAGTGCTGTCTGCAATAAATATTGATTATAAATACCTTACGAAATATTTTAATGACTAATATTTAGGTAAAATTTTATTTACAATAAAATAAATAGATAAGTAAAAATTATGGATTTTTTGTTTTGCATAGGAAAGCTTAGCATCAAGCAACTATAGTATAACTTAGATTATTATAATTTTAAAAATACTATAGAGACTTACGCCAATGAATTTCGAACCCGGATCTTAGTTGACTTATTATTAGTGAAATCTAATTGTATTCCAAAGTTTTCCTGTTATATACATGTGTAGATGAATAATATACATACATGCATATAGATTAATAATATGTGACGTCAAGTCGCCTATGGAAAAACCTTTCATAGCATTTGCGACTCAAATTACTCCTAACTATAAAACCAGTTCATGGCTGATTTCTTTATGTAGGGCACATATAGAGAAGTTCCCAAAAAATATATAAAAACCTAATATAATATATACAAATGTTTATGCTCAAATAGAATTTTTCTCTTGTATACGACCAGCTAGTGATTTTCCCTAACGTCATAATTAAATTACTGATTATTGCATTATATGGTATAGGTTATGACGTTCATAACTGTAAATGAACTGCCCAACAGCTGAGCGATTTTTATTAATAACTGTAAACGATTGACACATATTCGATTTGAATAGATCTTTTACCTTGTAACAAAACAAAATAATAATAATAATAATAATTAGTAATTAATAAATATTTTTTCGACTTTTAACATTTTTACCCATACGTCGTTATCAATTTTGATTTTAATTTGCTCAATTTTTGGTATGGGGGCAACTGGTTCAAACCGGAGCTGGTCGAACTGGTTTGATTTAAAGTGCTTGCTCTGATGGCCAGCTGATAAGAGTGAAAAGGGACGCCCAATACCTATGGATGGCTGGTGGTTCCCTTAAGCGTCTGTGTGATTGTGCTTTGTCTGGCGCTGAAACTAGGGCCATGGCTAGTTGTCTCGGTTGATGAACTTGTTCAAAGCCAACTTATTAACTGAAAGAAAGGCCCAGCCTTTGAACGAACGAATTCATTAGAAAATTAACCGCGGAAATCAGCTGAAAATTTAATTTTCATTTATTGTTGCCACGTATCCAAAAATAAAAATGCCACGTCAAAATGTATATACACCCAACTACATATAGTTGTCGCTATAAATTTTCCATATATACAAATAAATATATATGTGTATAATGTGTATATATGTATATGTGCTCTTTATACATATAAGTAGAAAAACACGCGCTTGGTAATTTTCTGCGTATTCCTTTTCGCAACGAGTAAAAAAGTCAATAAAAATAAAAATAAATATGCTACACGAAAATAAAATGTGCCAAAGAGCAGCTGGCGGCATGCGTCGCGGCATGCCCACAAAAATGGGCGTCAGAGACAAATATACCCTATACTAAGTGTAAGATATTTGATGCGCGCATGCAAAAAGATCATTCAATTCTCTTGTGATCTAATTGGACAAAACTAGGGTATTCTTTAGTCTATATAATCCTTTGTCTTTGTTTTTGATAAAGTAAGAATTCACAGTATACTCAACAAAAGAAAATCTGAAAAGATTGTGTAAATAAAGTAGATCCATTAATGCTTCACAAAAGGTCTTTGTGTATAGGAATTCACAGGAATTACAGGGTATATTGTGTAAACATACCAGTTTGGATCCATAAGAAAGCATTCAACTTTATGGTCTCGGTTTCGTCTAGGTTTTATAAATTGAATAGTTATGCATACATAATAAAAGAAGGGTATCTTAAGGGCTGCCTTTTCATAATCATTTCAAAAATTCTTATAAATAAGACAAGGAAGGATAATGATAGCCATGCTATATCACAGTTATTGGGTAGTTACAGGGTATTCTTGAGCACGTCTATTGCCTTTACCCAAACAATTAGACCTGCTCGTAGCATTAAAACGCATTGCCATTTGCAAAATGCCAAGAGAACTAACGCACTGCAGCGCGTGCCAAGCTAAATAATGTCGATCCCATTTCGAATTCCCACTCCAATCCTCATTCCTGCTCCCATTCCCATTCCCATTCCCATTCCCATTCCCATTACCATTTCCAATACCTATTACGTTTCACATGTGCTATCTTGTGCTCTTCTAATCAGCTGAATTTGAACTCTTCGTTTGCTCTGTGCGCGTGGCTGCCATCAAATATTGTCGAGTCGTCTGTACAGAATAATTAGCTAGAAGCGTCATACATAGCTGATAATGAGAGTCTCGCAGTTGAATTTTTGAGCATTCGCCGTGATTTAACTATGGTCAGTTCTTATCATTAGCGAGCTCATGGCACATCAAAATGACATAAATAAAAAAAATAAATGTTCAAAATAAATACATTTAAGAGGAGTATTAAAAGCGAATCCAGCCAAACGGTAGCAGCAGAAATAATAGTAAATATTTGATCTGGGCGGGGTTTGGGCTTCGCTTTGCGGACTGCAAATGCCAGCTCAAGAAGTTAGCAAATCTTGAAAAAGATAAACAATAGAGCTCCCGCGTATCTCCATAAATGCTGTCAATTTGATAAAACAACACAAACATTTATTAAATATTCATTCGCTTTGAATTAGCAGGCAAATTAATTAGCGCCTCGCGATTCGGTTCGACGCAAATGAAGAAAGGTTAGCTTGAGATCGAAAAAATATTTATAACATATAGAAAATAATATGGAAACTGGAGAAATTGATGAAAAAGAGAATTAGTATTGGCATTCTACATATAAGACACAATCGGAGCTCAAATTGGGCATGTGCAATACATATATGAGGTGTGCGAAATAAGTAACTAGCACTACGTTTTATACAAAAGTTTATGATTATAGTAAATGTTGCCATAAAATCATTTATTTTGTTTTATACCCCAGAATACATCGACACATAATTTTTTGTTAAATATTATTAAGTTTGAAAAAATTCTATAAAACATTGTTATGCGCATAAATATATTAAATAACTGTTTTACATAGTTTTTTCCCCGAAATTTTATAATCTCTAAATATGCATGGCACATACACTACATTTTATATTTTCTATATATATGAAAAAATCTAATAATTTAATATTTATTAATGGCAATTAAAAGTTGATATATGTACATATATTATATGACACCTCGCAATAGGGTTAACCAACATACATAACACTTCAGCATTTATTTATTTAACATTCATGTTTCTCGCATATCTATGTTCACGGTGTCTTTGCTAATGATCGCAGATATTTATATGAAAAAAAAATGTATATATATGATAATAAAAGAGAATATAAAACAAAACATACTAAATGTTATTTAAGCAGTTGTCAATAGATAAGCTCTCTTAGTCAACGTCTCCTTCTGCTACACTAAACACAATGAGGGGCCCCAGGCGAATGCTGCATTTCATGTAATAGATTTCGTATAATTACACTTTTCATTTAATCTACGCTTAGAGAGAGGGAGCATTATTTCATTTGCCTGCAAATTAGTTTGATGACATTTCGGGTACAGCAACGAGTATATTTTATCATGTGCCAAGCTGTGTGCATATACATACATATATGTATGTATGTATATATGTATGTAGTATAGTTAATGTATGTTAATAACTCGAACCGGGACACTGACAATCAGACATACAGACCACGCACAAGCACAAGCATATAGTATTTTATATACATATATACATATGTATTGTCTATATATGTATGTGTGTAAGTACATATGTATGGGCATATGCATAGAGTATTTGAGTAGCTAAACGCGACACTAGAAAATGCGCAGTTTCCGAAAAAATTCGTCGTCTGACCGAAACAAAATTAGATTACATAAATGTGTGACGTCACTGAACGACACAGAACTATGGCGTGAATAGTCAATGGACTTTGGACCCAGGAGACAATGTAACTGGAACTACACGATTGTGCCCCAGATAAATGCTATGCGAGCTGATTTATGTGATAAACAGTGCCGATAAGTTGATATTGCCGATGAGATTACAGATAGCAATCTCTGAAGAGCGTCTGCTTTGATAAACTGAGATGCGAAATGTTGGCCATGTTAACAGTTACAGCCAGGGTCAACAAGGGGGACAGTGAGAGAGAGAGATAGAGAGAGATTATCTCTCAGAATAACCATAACAGAGAACACAGCGATAGCTGCAGACCCAGCTGTTGGCTGATGAAATATTGCATCATACAATTGCGGTCGGCCGGTTCAGCGAAACGAAAGTGAGGCAGTCATGACGCCTTCACATTACTCTCTCTCTTTCTCTCGGATTCGCCCTCTCTCTTTCTTTCTCTTGGCTATGTTGTCGCTGACAATTGAAGGTTGTCTCTCTGTCTCGCTGTGGCTGCTGCTTCGGATTCCCCAGCCAAACGCGCTGTGCAAAAGTCGAAGCAAGTTTTTCATGAATTAACAAGCAGCAAACCGAAATCATTAACAACAAAATATTGAACAACTATCAGATACTCTGTAGGAATTACATATGTTATATTCTAATAAATAAAGATCTCTCATTCTACTTTTCTTGCTCGAAAAGCAGCTAAAGATTGTTGCTTTGGTCTAGCTGGAAGGAATCCAGAGATCAGTCTTAGCCGGGGATAAGAAAAGTCCCAGAGACATAGGGTAAATGCTGTTAGTCTCTGTCAGCCTGCCTCCATTGGCAAATATACCCATTTATAGCAGCCGACTTAGGGGGTATTGTCAGAAACCTGCACAACCAGCCAACAGCTGATTAGCCAGTTTTTGTTTTACAATTGTGTGTGGGACAAATGCGACGGGCGACGGCAACTCAACTCTTTTTTTCCAACATACTTAGAATACTAATTGAGGTACAGTTGTGCACAAAACATGCAGATAAAGCGTGCTGCGGCCAGGTAAAATTGGTAAGCCCTAAAAGCAGCTGCGTTAGGATTTCAACATGTACCTGAACAGGTAGCTCACCGTACCCTACTTATCGGAGATAACCGTTTTTCTTTTCAGATTGGCCTCTCCGCCCAAGTGCTACAATTTTCGGCTCGTCTGCCGTTCGCTGTCCGTGCAATATGGCGACGTGAAGACACTGACGCCCGCTGTCCGGGAGTATGTGGACAAGTGTGTGAATCTGTGCCAACCGGACCGGGTGCACATCTGCGATGGCAGCGCCGCGGAGAGCAAGCTGCTGCAAGGCTTGATGCTGAAGCAGGGCACAATCCTGCCACTGCCCAAGTACACGAACTGCTGGCTGGCACGCACCAACCCAGCCGATGTGGCTCGCGTGGAATCCAAGACGTTCATCAGCACGGAACGCAAGGAGGAGACGGTGCCAGTTACGCCAAACGCCACGCCCGGAACCCTTGGCAATTGGATCTCTGATGCGGATCTGAAGGCCGCCATTGCCGAGCGTTTCCCTGGCAGCATGAAAGGTCGTACCATGTACGTCATACCCTTTAGCATGGGGCCCGTGGGCTCGCCTCTCTCCAAAATAGGCATTGAGATCACCGACTCTCCCTACGTGGTAGAGTCCATGAAGATTATGACGCGTGCAGGCGCTCCAGTGCTGGACGTGCTGCAGCAGGGCGACGGCCAGTTCGTCAAGTGCCTACACTCAGTTGGCACTCCAGCCAGTGGCGTGCAGGCTCAGGCCTCGTGGCCATGTGATCCAGAACGCACCATAATCCTCCATAAGCCAGCCGAGAACGAGATCGTTTCCTATGGCTCCGGCTATGGAGGCAACTCGCTGCTGGGCAAGAAGTGCTTTGCTCTGCGCATCGGCAGCACCATTGCCAAGCGCGAGGGCTGGCTGGCCGAGCATATGTTGATTCTGGGCATCACCAATCCGCAGGGCAAAAAGATCTACGTGGCAGCCGCTTTCCCTTCGGCTTGCGGCAAGACCAATCTGGCCATGATGACGCCCACTCTGCCGGGCTACAAGGTGGAGTGCGTGGGCGACGACATCGCCTGGATGAAGTTCGACTCGCAGGGTGTGCTGCGAGCCATCAATCCCGAGAACGGCTTCTTCGGCGTGGCCCCTGGCACCTCGCGTGCCACCAATCCCATTGCCATGGACACCATCTTCCGCAACACGGTATTCACCAACGTGGCCTCCACGTCGGATGGCGGCGTCTACTGGGAGGGCATGGACGCCTCTCAGTTGGGCAATGTCACGGTCACCGACTGGCTGGGCAAACTCTGGTCGGCGGAGTCGGGCAAGCCGGCTGCGCATCCCAACTCTCGCTTCTGCACGCCTGCTGCTCAGTGCCCAATCATTGATCCCGCCTGGGAGGACAGCGCAGGAGTTCCCATATCAGCGATTCTGTTCGGCGGTCGCCGACCCGCTGGCGTTCCCTTGGTCTACGAGGCGCGCGACTGGGCACATGGCGTCTTTATAGGGGCTGCCATGCGCAGCGAGGCAACTGCTGCCGCCGAGCACAAGGCCAAGGTGATCATGCACGATCCCTTCGCGATGCGTCCTTTCTTTGGCTACAATTTCGGCAACTATCTCGCCCACTGGTTGAGCATGGAGCAGCGCGGAAAGGTGCCCAAGATCTTCCACGTGAACTGGTTCCGCAAGAGCGATGAGGGAAAATTCTTGTGGCCAGGATTTGGTGATAATTCCCGAGTGCTGGACTGGATCTTCCGACGTGTGGAAGGCGAGAAATGCTACGAGGAGTCGCCAATCGGGCTGCTCCCTAGTCAGGGTGCACTGAATGTTGAGGGCGTGGAGGGCAATGTGGATCTCAAGCAGTTGTTCGATCTGCCCAAAGACTTTTGGCAGCAGGAGGCCAGAGAGATCGAGCAGTACTTCCAGGACCAAGTGGGTGACTATTTGCCACGCCCCGTCGCAGACCAGCTGACAGAACTGAAGAAGCGTGTGGCCAACATGTGATGTGGATAATCGCTCCATTCTGTGCGGTTTCATAGGTTATTCCTAATCTTAGTTTAATAAACTCTCATAAAAACCAGCAAAAAAGATTTTGTTGTATCACATTCTATGGGCATGGGCGTGGCTTCTCGGGCACGCGAAACGAGAGCAGGCAGCGCCAGAAAGTGGGAGAGAGGCCCGTCCAAAAAATTGGCGTAAACAAGCATATAAATTCATAATCGCGTTAACCTCTCTGCACCACTGCGAATTATCAAGATCGCTGGAAAAAACGAGCAAATATTATGGAATATTATGAAAAAAGACCAAAAACCTGGAGCTCAAAAACGTGCCGCAGTTGTTAAGGTCTGATTAAAGACCTGGTCATGGTGGTGTGACTCGACATGCAGCCAATTAGAGAAGAAGCAAGCCTCAACACGGCACTGATAACGCATTGAGTGTGCCCGAAAAAGGGGTTCCGTTAGATCCGGTTAGATGATCATAAACAATTATAAATAACGACTAAGAGCTAGTATGTGTATATACATATAATATACGTGAAAGAACGGGCAAATACATGTCTGTATTGTATTTGAATGTAGATTATTGGGTAATTATTAAGTACGATTCAGATACAATAATCATGTATTAGCACAGTAAGTAAAGAGCCTAGTCTCATTAACTCAAAGTCATTATTTAAGATCCAATTCAAATAGATGAAAGTAAATATATTGCCTTATTCGAGTCTATAGGTTTAACGAAAAGTCAAAAATGTTTTTCCTTGTTCACCTTTGACTATACTAAGATATTTATTTTTAGACTTAATGATAAGATCTATTGGAGCAATTGGGCTACTTTATAGTGTGTAGCTCTGTTATATCGCAGAATTTAATCAAAATTTGGCTGACTTTATGGCATTTGGCATTATTAGGTCTTATTAAGTCTAAGGTCTGTGGGATTACCTGGTCTATCACATTAGCAAGCATAGTGAAGCCTAGAACCTGCTGCTCTAACATCCGAATTTCTTTCGTCAGCTATTACAACAATTTGCAGTTAAAAACAGAGCTTGAGTCTATATTTAGAATAAAATATTTTCCATTGCATCGAGACTCCAGGGGCTCGTTTGTGCAAGCTGATAAGGCCCGTTACAATATATATTTAGCTATATGTATATTGATTTTCATTATTACTTATTGATCCGCCAACTCATTGACGTAAATTCAAAAATTGAGTCAAGTCATCAAACGCGCTTTGGTAATATAGCTCGGCGATCTTTGCACGGCGCGGGGCTGAGACAAGGGGCATATGGATCGAGGAAGTTGGGGGCTGAGGAGGAGGTTGGCAGGCAGGCAGGGTAGCACAGGCAGACAGTTGATAATGATGATGATGATGCTGCTTATCAAGCTCAACTAGAAAAACAAGTCCACGGTTTAAAAATAAATACACCAAAAAAAGCATTCCGCAAATTTGTGTTGAATATTTTTTATGCTTTTTCATTTGCCATTAAAAGAGGCGCGTGGAGGTTGGCTGCTAAAATAATCTTGAACGGAACTTTTCAAGGATTTCAAGGTTACGAGCTGCTCCCTTTAAGGTGAACTACACGATCAAAATGCCATTTACTTTTGAGTACAGAGATCACTCGCATCCCCATAAAATGGTTGAGAACCTTCATTTCTCCTTCGAAGAGCACATGATGATTCCATGCGGCTATGCGCGTCATGTCATGTGAAATTCACTATGTCCATTCATGGCCTCCAAGTCGGTTGGCTGATGGCCATGGCCAACATTATAATAGAACAGCGTAGAATTTTGCTAGATCATCGAATCATCTTCCCCGTCACCATTTTCGCCAATAAGCGAAAGTGGCCAAACAAAATATTTATACATATGTATATGTATATATATGTGTTCTGGCAACGTGACAACAGATCGCAAAGGCCATGTGATTCTGTATCGTGACAGAAGGCGTAGGTGGGCGCGTGTGTGTCAGCCTTAGGGGGGAGTGGAGGAATTATTACTATAGGCTTATGTGCGAAAAATTAGCTGTATCAATTTTGAAAGGGAAGAGCTAAAAGGAACAGGTGAGAGTGAGTGAGAAGATTTGCCTTTGTGTAAACATATAGAATTCATATGGACTCTTATGTAGATATAACAACAATGAATGTGAACTTGAATGTTGATAAGGCAAATTAAGTAGGTAATTGGGGTGTACTTGGCTTGATCATTATCTTAACTGGCATATGATTGACTGTAGATAAGTCAACTGTATAATGTTCGGATATAGAAAGAGCGTATATGTATTTTTGTAACACTAATAGTATGTATATCATACATACACATATTTACATAGATAAGAACTATAAAATAAGCTCAAAGATCATATACTCACTTATGATCAAATATACATATACATACATATGTATGTTTGTATGCATTTATAGATCATAAGAAGAATTACAATACAACGACCCATATTTATCATGTGTAAGCCATTATTGTAAATTAGATACCACAGCAGGTGGCACATATTACTGGAAAGAAGACTCCTTTACTGAATGATGGAAATGATTGACACACATTAGCTACCTATTAACAGGAATTGAATTATTAATAGCTCCATGTTCAAGATTATGTATATTGATTGTGTATTCCTATATTTATATCAACAATATGAATCAATATATACAAATATTTATATTACTCAATCTTGAATTCTGTGAATTTTCGATTGGGTAAGCATAGACCAACAGACATCCCATGTTACGATAATTGTACGTAGGAGGAACTTATTGATACGTAACTGACTGCATACATATAATAACTGAGCTATTTACGCACTGGAACGATATAGAGTGGAAAACATAAATAAACAAAGTAATTAAATTAGCAGCAGCTGACAGAGCGAAAAACCAAATAACGCCGAGTGGAACGTAAATAGCGCTAAATGATTCTTATCAATCGCGAATAGACGCACTATCAAAACAACAGCAAAAACGAATCCAAGAGCGGCGAGTCGACGAAACAAAAACACTCAAAATAAATGAGAAACAAAAATAAACTATAACATGCTACAGCGGCACTAACAACATGGCTTGTTGTCAAGCGACACAAGCAGCCCACCCCTTTCGCCCACTCTCCTCGCTCACCCAGAAGCTCAGTGAAAAACCAAAACAATTGCCGAGCCTCCGACCCAACAGCCAATCAGCTGGCCCGAAGTTTGACCTGAGGCGCGCGCTACTCATAAAAAGACAGAAACAAATACAAGCGAGCCGAACCCGAATGGCAGCCGAAGCCGAGTGGCAGCCGATCGCGCGGCCCCCGTTAATCATGTTCTAGTCGCATCGGGCAGTCGGCCGGCAGGCAGCGCAGCGTATAAAAGGCCGACTGTAGCAAGCAGCTGGCATCAGTTACTCGTGGACTGAGTAAATGGAAAGATCAAGTGAAACATTCAATTTCAGTGATCTGAAAATCAAATTGATATTTGACAAAAAACTCTGGAAAAACATACGAAACTACAAGAGCGCATCAGCAGAAGCCCAATAAAGAGCAAAAGCAACAAAAAAGTTGAAATTGTGATAATTCAAATTGTGATACTTAAATTTTTTTGCCCAAAACAAAAGCAAACAAATCGAACCGTTAATTAGTGCGCCATATTCCAAAGTCTTTTAAAGAATATTAATTTCTAATACAAATCTAAAGCCAAAAAAAAAAAAAAAACTAACAAAATGCCTGAGCTCATTGAACAAAGCAAAATTATGTAAGTACGAGTTGTTTCCCCAACAAAAAAGAACAAGTCATGAAAAGCGAGCATATGCATCACCACACCCAGAAACCTCTAGCATGTTGCATGCCCCATAATGTATTTTTAAATGAAAAAGAAAAAACATTAGTGCGTTTTGCCAAAGAAAAAAAAACTAAAACATTAAAAAAATTGTTCAAAAATAGTTTCCAAATTATCGTGTCTCAAATAATTTTGTTGCAAAAATAAATCCTTTGAATATAGAACGTGACTTTGAACATTTATTTAAATATTTCGCATACAATTTTTTAATAAATTTGAAAATGTTCGATTTGGTAAAAATTATTCATGTATAAAATATATTTAAAAATTAAAGCAAGAACATATTCATATCCATTCGTATATACAATATATATGTATGAATATATTTATTCTTGCATATTCGAATAAAAAAAGATCTATGTATATTCTGCTACTCTTTTCATAAACTGACCCAGTCTCTCTCTTTAATACAACTTTAAATTATAAATTCTCTTCTCTTCTCTCTTCAGTGCCGCCAACGGCTGTGCTCTGCCCCAGCTGAACAAGCTCCGCCAGGACAACTGCGGCCTGTACAGCCACATTCGTGGCATTCCCACCTCGTATGGCGATGTCAACTCCTTGACTGCCGGTGTGCGCAGCTTCGTGGAGGAGGCAGTTGCTCTGTGCCAGCCCGACCAGGTGCACATATGCGATGGCTCCGAGCAGGAGAACAAGATGCTCATCAAGGTGCTGCTGGAGTCGGGCACCATTGTGGCGCTGCCCAAGTACGAGAACTGCTGGCTGGCACGCACCAACCCGGCTGATGTTGCCCGGGTGGAGTCCAAGACCTTCATCTGCACCGATAAGCGGGAGGAAACAATTCCCACGCCCAAGGATGGCGTCAAGGGCACTTTGGGCAACTGGATTTCGCCTGTTGACATGGAGGCTGCCATTCAGCAGCGCTTCCCTGGCTGCATGAAGGGTCGCACCATGTATGTGGTGCCCTTTAGCATGGGTCCAGTGGGATCCCCGCTGTCGAAGATTGGCATTGAGATCACCGACTCGGCCTATGTCGTCGCCTCCATGCGCATCATGACCCGCATGGGCGCTGCTGTGCTGCAGCAGTTGGCTAAGAAGGAGGAGTTTGTGCGCGCCCTCCATTCCGTGGGCACTCCAGCTAACGGCGTTGTTGAGCAGCCATCCTGGCCATGCGATCCAGAGCGCACCATCATCCTGCACAAGCCCGCTGAGAACCTGATTGTGTCCTATGGCTCCGGCTATGGAGGCAACTCGTTGCTGGGCAAGAAGTGCTTTGCTCTGCGCATCGGCAGCACCATTGCCAAGCGCGAGG